TGCATTAAACATTAACACTCCCTTTGGATGGAAGGATTTTATGAAAAAAGAAAAAATATATATATATATTTATCATCATTTGTTTGAATGATTAATAAGGTACGTAATGATAAAAAAAATAAAAATAATAAAAAAATGAAAAAGAGAAATGGTGAGAAAGATAAATTACTCCAACATAATTTTTATTTTTTTACTAAAAGTGATGAGATTTTGTGAGAAACCAAAATTATCCATTATAAAAAATTATAATACCTAAACTACTCCTATAAAGAAAAACTTAAATAAAGTGAAAAACTCTTTGAACTGTACTGATCATATATGTATATATATTTTTTAATTCAAAATAAACAAGTTAGTGCACATACAAATTTATTTTCCATTCTATGTTGAATCATGATTGTAGTTCAGGTAGTATTTTACGTTAAGTAAAAATTATAATTAGCAATTATTCTTATTAAAATATATATATATATAATTGTAAACCACACATTAATATAAAATAAGAAATAAATTATTCTTACCTTAATTGTTCAATTTTGAATTAAAAAAATAAAAAATAAAAAATATTCACGTCAAAGACAGTAAGTGAAATGTCATACATCATTAGAACATTTTGGAACACCATAAATGACTAGGTCTTTGTTCCCTCTAGTAAGTAGTAGCCATCCAAGCATACCTGCTGGAAAAATAAAAAATAAAAAATATGCCAATTACATCATTTGCTTAAGTTGAATGGATATTACCGGATTAATTTAGTTTTTAAAAATAATTTAGATATCAGGAGCCAAACTATCGAAATATCACTTGTGACGAGTCACGAGCTCATAAAAAGACTTGCAAGCAACCCCTGCCCATAAGAAAAACAAATATGAATTATATTTGACATTTTCTAATCATCAAATTATATTTAAGCAGGTAGAGGGAGTTGTATGTGTTGTTGCAAGAATTGGATGCTCTCAAGTTGTTGGTTATCTAATAAGAGAAATGCTTGGAGATGTTGGATTCATTTGGGACCAACATCGGCGATGTGAGCCGTTTACATTTGAAGATTCGTTCAATAGAATATTTATGTAAAAAATTAAAATAATTGAATATTGGTAACTATATGTTTGAATCATATTTGTTTTATAAAAAAAAAACAATAATTATAATTTTAAGAATAATCATCCATTTTTTATAATACAAATGTGATTCAAATATATAGATACCTACATCCTATCATGTTAATTTTTTTGCATGAATATTCTAATCAACTAGCCCTAAAAAGTGAGCGGTTTGCATCACCGATATCGGCTCCAAAATAGATTCTTCAAGCCCAAACGCTCTCTCAAGTTGAGATGACCAACTTGAAATAATCCAAACCCAATCAAATATTATTGTATCTAATCTGTCAACTTTATTGGGTTATGCTAGGGATCCTAAGTAATCTACTAAATTTTTTATCAAACCTCTCACATGGGTGTGGGACCCACACACATTTGGATTTGTGTGGATCCCACACCTATGTGAGAGGTTTGGCAGAAAATGTAACGCCCCCAAAAAATAATATAATAATAATAATAATAAATTTCCAATAAACATGTCTGATCCAAATCTCCAACATTTGCATATATATAATCAAGAGAGATTTAAAAAAGTTTTCATATGCGAATATACATTCATCAACCTTAGTACATGAATCTATAGCATGTAAAATAATCAGTCAAAAGTAAACAAATGCCCTCATGGGCTACAAAGTCCAAGACTTAAGACCGGTTACACAAAATGGTTGTTCGAACCCATACAAATATAGTCTTTGGCTTGCAAAAATACAATTACTGTAAAACAAGAGTCTTGTGCTTTCAACATACATATCCACGCCCTTAGTTTGGCGGAATCACCACATCTTTTTCTGCACTAAAATCTAATAGGATAAGCACAAAACCCAATAACAAATTTTTAACAAAGTATATACATTTTATATAAGTCTCATGAAATGGAATACACATGTTATGCCATGCCTTTCAAAAAGAAAGTAGCATCTTCATCTTTTGAAAAAAACCACCATGCACAATGAAATATTAAAATTTCAACAAAATTCTACAATTTTAAATCAAGTTAAAAGGAGCAGTAAATACGATTTAGGTAATCCCTAAGTTCGTGTCTGCAACTAGGCATAACTAGCACTACCAAAACCCCCACTTTACCGGTAGCTAACCGGAAGGCACTACCTCCTCCGCGCGTGTTTTCGGTCTTTCACCTTGGACACTCAGGCCAATTTAATCAATTCCATCTATACCCCCTATCCGGACTTACCAAAATATTTACCCCATAAACAAATCCATGAGAGCCACACAAACATTCTTTTCTCAAGGCAAAGGTTTCAAATCTCAATTAAAAATTTGTAACAACCAAATGAATCAAAATGCCAATGCAACAATTGTCTATGCAATATAATGTTCTTCCATTTTTAATTCTTCCACACAACTTTTCCATTGTGATCACAATCCCCATTTCTCTTTCCAATGCAATTTCACAAGATAACCATATATTCATTTAAATCCATCAAGACTAGCAACATTTCCACACTTCATGTATTCTCAACAAATTAGTCATTTCATGACTATATCACATTTTCAACAACAAACTTCCAATCAACTAATTCTCTTATACCATGAAATTCCTCATTTCAACATTAATCATAATATTGATCAAATATCAATTTCATAACATCACCACATTTCCTCAAAAAAATTCCCAAATTTTTAAGGTTTCCATAAATAAGATTTCCTCTTTATTTTGAAAGCAATTATTTCAAGATAACACTTCTCCATAACAATATGGCTCAAAATCTCAAGGGTTTCTATAAAACATTTTGGAAACCCACATTTAAAATCATCCACAACTCCTGAGTCAAAAATCAAGTTCAACACAACAAGGAGAAGTTCCAACAACAACATAACTAGTAAAAATATATATATAAATATACATATATGACTCAAAGAAAATCCCTACCTCAAGTTCTTGTAGGAAAAAGAGAAGAAAACCCCAAAATCAAAGGTGTCGAAACGCGATCTCCACCGCACACAACATAACCCTCGACGAGTTCTCCAATTTTGATGAAGGAACTAGGGTCAAAATGTTAATGGATTTGGAGAAATCAAGGATTTTGTGAGATTTGGTGTAGAAAAAGTAGAGAAATGGGTTTTTAGAGAGAGAGATATATATACAAAAAGTGATATACACTCGCTCCAAAAAGAAGGAAAAAGTAGATTTTGCTTTATCCTGCACGTGCGGCACCCCCATTTGCATGTGTGGCTCTCATCTCCGCACGTGCGGCACTCTCTCCTACACCTTCTCTCCACACGTGCAGCCTCACCTCTAGTACATGCGACCCCCTCTCCGCACGTGTAGCGCAAGCCCCCGCACGTGCGGTTCTGCCACCTAGCTATAAAATTTTCCAGCTCAACCTGTGACACCCCAAATCTAACCTCGCACCTTCTGAAACAAGTGAAACTCGGAATTGAAACAAATAAGAATGAGAATCTTGAAAAAAGTTTTCAAAAACAACGAACCCAACGGTCGACAAGACCTCACATTAAAACCCAACACTCCAATAAGAGTAAACTCAACATAACTCAAAGAGGACGAGGTGAATTATGAATCCGGTCATCACAGAAAATTTGGTAAATTATTTGGGGTCTATAGCATTTTCCAACTTTATTATAAGAAACCTCAATAACGTAACCTTGAAGTTAATCATAAATCAATTGCACTTAATGCCATATTTAATTTACCATTCTACCTATATCATATTATTCAAAAGTGTCTAACTGAACTAGATCGATTAATTGTTGAAAATATATTGAGTTTAAATTTAATTTTGGAGTTGAAGTTGCTCTACAATCTTGTAGATACCTTATGCTTTTGAATTTTCTCTCCTAACTTGCTCTTTTAAAATCTAATCTAGGTTGAAAATTCTAGACTACAGAAAAGTTTAAAAAAAATTGTCAAATTTTAAAAAATTCACCAATGATAAAAAAGATACGGAAAAATTGCAACTTTTTTATTTTTCCCAAATAGAATAGATAATAACAAATGCATAACCTATGGTATATTTTCCAATGCCATGTTGAATTTGTCTAATAATTGATGACACTTGCATTATTGCAACTCATCATTATAAGGTTGGTTTCTAGTGAAAGTTGTCCAAATGAATACCAACGATGGGGATGGTATCTATTTGAATCTTCTTCAGGTCCTTTCATCGTTTTTAATTGTTATGTAGAATCTGGAAAATAAAAAAGAAATAAAAACTTTACACACCTCTTTCTTTAGAACTTATTGTAATAACTGATTTCTGCTAAGTGAAAGATTAAAAAAATGAACAGTGATTGACCAAACAAGTCCTTAAAAATAAGGAATTTGAATTCTCGTGAGTTTCTTAGAGACCGCCGATCTGGATTAATTATTTAACAGTATTATAGCATTACGTAAAATTGTCTAGTACAAAATTTTAAAAACAAGACATATTGATTCACTTTTGGTAAATAATTAAAAGAAAATGATAACTCATTTAGTATGTATTGTAATTTTTCAATAATCAAAAGTATTTTGTAAATAATATCAGATCTATAAGTATCTAATAATTTTTTCATATTGATTGATTGAATCAAGTACAAATAATTAAATTTTTTTCCAACGAAAAGTACAAAATTAATTTAATACTTGCGTCACATGAACAATGTCGACATCGGAAGTAGACAAGTGCCAAATGCTACTAGGGACCAACTAATTTGGTTCAACTTATGAAGGGGCTTGGGAAAAAGAAAAAAAAAAGAAAGATAAATTAAACTATAATTACTAATAATTATTCAAAAATTATTAATAATTACTACAATATATGACAAAACCATGATTGTCAACTACATAAAATTATCTAATAAATGAGTCTTATCCATTCAATATCAATCAAATTAGCTAATTTTTTAAAAAATAAAATTAATCAAAAAATAGAAAGCTCACCAAAATGGGCAAACATAGATTTCCATTAGCACAAGCAACTCACGTTGCTGACAGCTCAATAATTTATTACAAAGGATTTTAATATCAATCCCTCCAACCATAATCATCTTTTAATTTGACTTTTATATTTTTTCCACATCAATTATTGTTCTCCTAAAGATTCCACGATTAGATGGAGACAATCCCCTTCTCCTTATTGTCTTCAGTAATGCTACCTATCAGAGATTCAGATCCAAAAACGTAAACAAATATAATTTAGATTCATTTCAAGTGCGAAATGTTGAATCTGAACTATATTAATTTATTTTATTTTTGAATATTTTTGTATGTCTGACTGACTGTTTATTCTTTGTCCAATCAAGGCATGGCATGGTTGGTGAAGTCAATAAGTCCATTCATGAGGGAGACCTATCTCCTGATGGTTCGCCACTCCCTTTTGCTCTGAGTGCAAGTCACTCCTTTCTAACCTCTCAACATCTGCACAACAATAATTAGATTAAACGCTAGTTTCAATAGATTCTTCTGCCCAGATTCTCTCTATTCTTTTATGTACTGAATTATTTTTTACCATAAAATAATTTTTTTTTTTTACTTGATCATGGGATGGTGAAGGACTTTGGAATAGGGTTATAGGCCGGTTTGGTAAGACTTATTTTTACTTTATTTCAGTTTTTAGTTTAATTTAAACTATTTTGATGTGTTTGGTTCAGTTTAACAATACAACTTATAACTTTTTGTAAGTCAAAAATCGATTTATTCTTTGAGTGAGGGAGAAGAAGCTTAATTTATAAATCAAAAATCAGCTTATGTTCACAGTTATAAGCTATAAGCTGTAAGCTGTTAAACTATAAGTTATAATCACTTTCTCGCAGCTCTACCAAACGGGACCATAAACAAGTGGTAAGTAATATATTATTTAAGTTTAATTTAAAATTTTAATAAATTTTAAAATATGTTTTTTTTTAACAAGAATTTTAAAATATGTTTAAATTTAACTCGTTTGAGAATATGTTATTTTAATAATTTTTTTATTTTTTAATTTTATAAAAAAAATGTACAAAAAAAATGATATGATAATTTATAATAATTTTTTAACTAATACTGAAAATTGCCGAATAAGACCTTATTTACCTTGTAAGTCAAAGCTACTTGAAAGTTTAATGTGTGTTTTTTAACAGGGACTGGGAGAATGAAAAAGTCTACACTTGCATAAAAAGAATTAGAATGTATAAATATGAGATAAAATATTTGTAATTATATATGAAAATATTTTATTTGCTAAAATATAGTTACGAATATTACGTCTTACATCTATGTTTTTCATTTTGTGTAATTTTTTCCATAAAAAAAGAAATTTGTAAGAGCAAATACCGTGTTGAACGGGGGGACTATTAAAGCCTACACAAGTATTCGATTGTGACCCACGACGCTGAGTTTTCATTTCTTTGAAGTGGAGTTGGAGGGCCAGCATTACTCTTGCAGGAATAAGAACCGTCGAACAACCTGATCAAACCACACAACATAATTTGATTGATCAAATATCAATAGAGAAGTTTTTATCGTATAACAATGTTAATGTGATTATTTATATATATATATCATATTTTTTGTGTTATTATTATATTAATTTAATAAATTTCATTATTCATTCTATTATTAATCTATCAGGGAAACATGAAATTAAAATAAAACCTAATGTATAATTATGAGTGGTGTTATTAGCTCCCAATCTATTATTTTGAACCCTCCATTTATTTGAACCTTCACTTGTAAGTTTTGAAATCCTTAAAATTTATTTTCTCTTTTCAAATAATATTAAAATTATCCTTGTGAAAATATTTCACCCATTCAATTGAATGTACACACCCACACCAAAAAAAAAAAAATCTCTCTTTCAAAAACCCTAACCAAACCCACAAAGAAGAAGAAGAGCCAAGTGTGATTACTGTCTCTGCTTTCTCTCTCTCTCTCTTTCTGCTGCCTCATCCATTTCTTCGATGATTAATGTTCGGTTACTAGTTCCCGAACAAATAAAAAATGTTCAGTTACTGGTTTCCGAACAAATAAATAATATTTGGGCCTGTGTTTTTAAATTTCGGTCATATGTTCGGGAGTTCAATCCCAAAAAAATGACGAACAGATTTTATTATTTTTATCATTTTTTTTAAGAAACTTACCCTTATAAGATCAATCTCCTCTAAACTAAGAACACAATAAAAGCTATGAATTTCTTTTGAACTTTTATTGTTGTACTCCTCTCGACTCATGAAATTGTGGTTGTCGAAAAAAATTTCACTCATTATGATTGCCAAAGAAGTGTGAATAATCAAATGGTTGCTGCCGTTTTCATCGGAATATTACCACCAAAGGATTTTCAAGGTTTTGAGGTGAGTAAGTTTTGAAGGTGAGATTTGAGAAAGATGGATGGGTGGTGATAGAGGTGAGTACTCTCATAAATCTTAATTCATGATGTAGTGGTGTGTTGATTTAATTGTGAGATGAGGTGTCTCAAAATTAATGATGTCATTTTTAATAATTTTATTTGAGATTATTATTATAATAATGAAGTGGAGTTGGAGGGCTAGCATTACTCTTGCAGGAATAAGAACCGTCGAACAACCTGATCAAACCACACAACATAATTTGATTGATCAAATATCAATAAAGAAGTTTTTATCGTATAACAATGTTAATGTGATTATTTATATATATATATATATATCATATTTTTTGTGTTATTATTATATTAATTTAATAAATTTCATTATTCATTCTAGGGTTCGTTTGGCAAGAAGAGTTTGGGGCTTTTTTGGCTATTTTAATCACAAAAAACAAAATAGGCTATTTTAGCCACAAAAAATAAAACATTACATCCAACCCATAATCATTACACTATTCTCTCACAAAAAAAGTCAAAAAAGTTAAAAAGCCAAAAAGTCCTTCCCAAACCAAGCTTTTTAGCCCAGGCTAAAATAGTCAAAAAAGTCAAAAAGTCAAAAAGCCAACCCACTTCCCAAACGGAGGCTTAATCTATCAAGGAAACATGAAATTAAAATAAAACCTAATGCATAATTATGAGTGGTGTTATTAGCCCCCAATCTATTATTTTGAACCCTCCATTTATTTCAACCTTCACTTATAAGTTTTGAAATTCTTAAAATTTATTTTCTCTTCTAAAATAATATTAAAATTATCCTTGTGAAAACATTTTACCAATTCAATTGAATGCACACTCCCTACACTAAAAAAAAAAAACCTCTCTTTCAAAAACCCTAACCAAACCCACGAAGAAGAAGAGCCAAGTGTGATTACTATCTCTGCTCTCTCTCTCTCTCTCTCTGCCGCTTCATCCTTTTCTTCGGTGATTAATGTTCGGTTACTAGTTCCCGAACAAATAATAAATGTTCAGTTACTGGTTTTCGAACAAATAAATAATGTCCGGGCCTGTGTTTTTAAATTTCGGTCATATGTTCGGGAGTTCAATCCCGAAAAAATGACGAACAGATTTTATTATTTTTATCATTTTTTTTAAGAAACTTACTCTTATAAGATCAATCTCCTCTGAACTAAGAACACAATAAAAGCTATGAATTTCTTTTGAACTTTTATTGTTATACTCCTCTCGTCTCATGAAATTGTGGTTGTCGAAAAAAATTTCACTCATTATGATTGCCAAAGAAGTGTGAATAATCAAATGGTTGCTACCGTTATCATCGGAATATTACCGCCAAAGAGTTTTCAAGGTTTTGAGGTGAGTAAGTTTTGAAGGTGAGATTTGGGAAAGATAGATGGGTGGTGATAGAGGTGAGTGCTCTCATAAATTTTAATTCATTATGTAATAGTGTGTTGATTTAATTGTGAGATGAGGTGTCTCAAAATTAATGATATCATTTTTAATAATTTTATTTGGGATTATTATTATAATAAAAAAAAGTAAAAATTAAGAAGTCCAAAATAATTTATGAATAACTAATAACAACACTGGTAATTATTGTAACATATAATTCTTTATGAGCATTAGACTATTTTGTTCAGTTTTGTTTTTGTTGCTTTCTATTTATGAAACATTAAAGTGGGCCCGGAGAGGAAGATTCCAGCTTTGTTTTCTTTATTTTGACGTAAGATTCTTGGTTGGACTTATTTGATTGGCCAATAGTTACCAAACATAAACAGCTGAATATTCTACAGTGAAAAATATCAACAAACATAATGATAATGATCTCATATTATTTCATACAAAAGTAGGTAAACAAAATTATGTGTAAAATTACTTTTCAATAAAATCATAATTAAGTGCTAAATAAACATAATTATTATGAGATGACGTAAAAAAAAATAAAAAGATAATTTGATCAAAATAAAATAAAAAATCAATAAACTGGTGTATAAGGCCACTTCTCAAAAAAAGATCTAAGTGTAAATGAAACTCAAATAAGTAATGCGGTAATAAATAAGTTTTTATATGAAATTTTGCATATAAAATAATATAATTTTCATGATTCAAATTTTTAAAAATGTCAGTACCATATTATTTCAAATAAAATTTTTGAGGCAAAAATTTTATTTATTTGCCATTTCTCAATTATAAACCGTCGTTTGGCATGCTGGGTTAGGAAGTTAAAAGGCTAAAATAGTTATAAAAAAATAAAATAAATTAAAAAATCAATAAGATAAAATGTCACATCCAAATCACAATTATATCACTTTTTTTCTCACAAAAGTAAAAAAAAATTCAAAAAATTTAACCCAAACAAAACTTTTTAGCCTACACTATAGTCAAAAAATCATAAAATCAACTCACCTCCCAAACCAAGCCTAAATAGGGTGATAAGTTGCAAATTCTAGTAGATCACAATATTGTTTAAAAACCCAAACCAGGACCGGATCGGCCAGTCGAACCGGTTGGACTAGGAATCGGGTCTTGTTTCGGTCCGAAAAATCCTCTAGACCCAAATTAAGGGCAAAACAGGTGTAAAATTGAAAAACTGGTTGACCTGGCGGTCAAACCACCAAAATCGACGACCTGAACCAGGTTTTGAGACCCGATCAGTTCTGTTATATATACTTCTTTTTTTATATATTGCATAGACTGCAATTTAACTTTTCTACTGGCCTTCGAAGATGGACCAGCCAAGTACTGCATTATTGGATGCCTCCAATCTTGTTCTTGTAAGTCATTATGATTGACTTCTAAGATCACATTCCTTTTATTCAAAGGTTGAATTAATTTCTGATATGTTGTTTGGCTTATGTCCCGTTGGGTATTATCCCTTCTCTTGAAGTTCGAAGCTTTTTGAGCCACATCATTGGCTCTATTGTTCAAGAATCTTGGAACATGGGTTACATTTGCTATTTGAAACTGAGAAAGCAAATGTAATGCAACAACATAATATGGTATGATACTTATGCTTTGACACTTGAAAATTCCTTTCACTTGGTTAACCACCAATTGAGAATCTCCAAATATGTCAACTGCATGTACTTGTAATCCAATAAGAATCTCTAGTCCCACAATTAAGGCCTCGTTTGGGAACAGGCTAATTTAGTAACTTTTTGGCTATTTGGCTAAAAAGGTAGGTAAAAAAAACTTGTATGTTTGGGATGACTTTTTGGCTAATTACGAAAAGATGTGCAAAAAGTAGAGAGAAAAGAGAATCTTTGACTTTTTGGTATGGGTTGTTGGCTTTTTGACTAATTTAGTAACTTTTTGGCTAATTGGCTAAAATAATCTCTTGCCAAACGAGGCCTAAGATAACAAAAAAGTCAAATAGCCATCTAAAATAGTCAACTTCCAAACAAGGCCATTATTTCAAATAATCACAATTTTCTGGTGTGCATTTTTCTTCTATGAAAATTTTATTTGAAAATAATTTTTCACCATTGAAACCAAAAATAATTTTGGTGTGAGTAAAATAAAATAGCCTAAAACAATTATTAAGACAAAATGTTATATCCAACGCATAATCATTTTACCTTTACTTTCACAATTATCAAATCAACTATAAAAAAAAAATTTCAACCAACTTTTCAAACATAACTTTTTTAATTAGGCTAAGACAACAAAAAAGTCAAATAGCCATCTAAAATAGTCAACTTCCAAATAAGGCCATTATTTCAAATAATCAAAATTTTCTGGTGTGCATTTTTCTTCTATGAAAATTTTATTTGAAAATAATTTTTCACCATTGAAACCAAAAATAATTTTGGTGTGAGTAATTAATTACATAATGACTTTGAATTAGAAATACAACAACAACAACAACAACAACAACAAACAACAACGTTAACGACTCTTGCTAACTCAGTGAAATCATTATTAAAAAATGTGAAAACTTTTACCTTTTTTGTTCTTAGAACAAACAACCAACTTTCATTTTTTTCCTTCATAAAAAACCTAAAAACATTTGAGCACAGACATTAAAATTAGGAAAAATAACAAATTAGTTTTTATTTTAAAAAATAATTACAAATTCATGATAAACTTTATACACTTTAATAATTAAAATTATAATTTTTGTTTATTAATTTAATAATTATTTTATAAAAGTACCACTGATTTATAAATCCCCCTTAAAATTAATAAAGTTTCCCACCTATTACCAATATAAACCAAGTATATGAGAAAAAAAAATTTATTATAAAAAAATATTTTTTAATCAAAGTATAAAATTATTCAAATTTTATATTAAACTGAAAAACACAATTATTTGTTGATATGTATTAATTAAATAAATTTGATTTTTTTCACTTTTGATGAATCCACCATTAAAATGACGTGATTTAAGTAAAAAATAAATTAAAGAAAAAAGGTTTATATACTATAATAATGATACATATATAGTGATATTATTAATTAATGATAAATATTACATGATTAAGGTCCTGTTTGAGAATATGTTATTTTAGTTGATTGTTAACTATTTTAATCTGATTAAAAAAGTTATGTTTAAAATGATAATTGAATTTTTTTTAATAGTTGATTTGATAATTATGAAAAAAAATAAAATAATAATATTTTAAATATAATATTTTATTTTATTTATTATTTTATTTTATTTTATTTTTATTGATTATTTTAGTCCAAATCACACTTCCTAACCCCCCCTCCCAAAATTAATGTGAGAGAGAGTAGAAAGAAGAGGAAAAAAAAGACCATCTAATTTATTTTATTATTTTTATTTAACTGATGATGATAAAATTACCGGCAAATTTATCCCAACCGTAAATAAATACCTGATTTCTTCTTGCTGACAGTGACGTCCAATGGGTTGCCGGTTCCACGTGGAAGGAACACGCCCGTACCCGAAGACCCACTTCTTGAACCGGGCCCGCCAAGGAAAACTGCTCTCATGCCCGAACCCGAACCAACTTGCCGCCGACGCTGCTGCAGCGGTGGAGCCGCCGTAGCCGCCGGTGATCCAAAGCCACCACCACTACCGCCTTCAGCATCAGTTCTTCTTCCTCTGCTTTGCATGTGGTGCGGTTTTTGATGATGAACTTGTTGCTTTTGCTCAAGTTGGTGAGTCAACTCGGTCCTCTTCACTCGTCTTCCCCAACTTGCAATCGACGGTTGATTCTCCAACTTATACAACTACAAACAAAATTCAAATCCCTCAAAAAGCTAAGTAATTCATAGTATCAAAATCAAAAAAGAAAAAAACGAAAAACGAAAAAACAAAAGAGTAGAGATTGTTAATCTTACATGAACAGGTCGTGTTTGATCATCACAAAAAGCAGGGATCGATGTGGGTTTATTGAGTTTGGGTGTGCTATGAATTCTCTCACCATGTTGGTCTTTGGAGCCCAATCTTTCATCGTCTTCTTCAAGCATGTAATCAGCCATCTGGCGAGTCAACTCAGCAATGAAATCGCTGTTGTTGTCATCGTCGCTGCTCTCTGTTTCGGTGGAGCAGAGGTCCGACCCGAATGGTGAGCTCAAACCGGAGGAAGAGGAGCCAAAAGGTGAACCGGTCTGGGTGGTACGCCGGTCCTCCGAGAGAATATCATCGTCGTTGAGAAGCTTTGAAAGAAGCAACCTCTGTCTCCCATGGAACTCAACAGCCATAACTACCAACTTCCCAACTGATGAAAAGAAGAGGTTATCTACATAAGGTTGAGGAAAACACAGGTGGCCAGTTTTTTTTTTTTTTCTGTGTCCCAATCTCGTTGAAGAAGACAAATAATTCTAATGCTTAAAAGGAGTAGGGGAGAGAGAGAGAGAGTCGTATACATATATATATTTTTTTTGATTCAAAGAGTCGTATACATATGGTTGGAAAAACAAAACAAAAATATTTGGGACTTCAAAGTTGGGGATTTTTATGGCATTTAAAATGATGTGAATTAATTATTGATTTTTTTTCTTTTTTTTTTTTGGGATCAATTATAGTTGGGTGGGGATTTTGAAGGTTGTGTTTTTTAATGTAAGGATCCTCTGTTCCTAAATAATCTTGTCATCTATCCCAATTCATTTATAACCATTAGATATGTCTTGAGATTTTTACATCTTAATATTCTCATATAATCCAATGGCAATGAGTGATTTGAGACAAGAGGATAGGATTATTTGGGGACAAAAGTATCCTTGCACTGTGTTTTGGGGGTTTGTAGCATTGTTGATAATCAAATATAAAGACTATTAATATATAGACTCCAAAAAATACAACCTCACTCACTTATGATTGGTTTAGGAAGGAAAGAAAAAAAATAAAAAACAAAAACACATTATTGATTCACATCATTTTGGAAGTTATGAGGATCCCCAACTTTGGGGTCCCAAGCATTTTTGTTTGATTATGGCCATAAGTTTGGATAAATTACATTTAGCACCCGTACAATTTGTTTCAAATCACACTTTAATTTCTACACATGAAATCATGACAATCAACCTCTATATTTTTTTTTTGGTCAAATCTCACTTTGGTCTTTACACATGAAATCTTGATAGTTAATTATCTGCACTTATGAAATCATGATAATCAACTGCTTACACTTCTAGTCAAGTGTCGATGTTTCCCTTTTGTTACTCCATCGTATAAGTCTTTAACAGAAATCAGTAATGTGATAAGCATATGACTACAAAATAAGAGTAAAAGAAGAAAATCAAACAAATTTTCCATCTATACATATTTCATTCCAAAATTTATATCAAATTTTGATTGTATTAAGCTAAAATAAAATGTAAATTGTGAATGATTAAGGAGATGAATTAGAGTTTTGCAAAAATTAGAATAGTGAAATTATGTTTTCCAAAGTAATAAAATCTTCGATTTCTCTACTGTATTTTTTTATTTCAAAAGCTTTATTTTCTTACCTATTCATTCTAATTTTCAGTATATGAACACACATACACACATGTATATTATATAACTCTCACATACTTATTACATAAAATAAAGTGTATATTGATGAAAAATAAGAACGATTTTTTTCTCTTATCCTTATTTCTGTTAAAAACTTAAATAATAGAGTAATAAAAGAGACAAGTTAACATTTGATAAAAAAATGCTATAGAAATTAAAGTGGAATTTGATAAAAAAAAAATAAAAGAAATTAACTGTTACAATTTTATGTATAAAAATCAAAATGAAATTCCGTACAAAATGTAGTGGGTGCAAAATGTAATTTAAACCCCCCCCCACATTTCTAACCTTCAAAAGCCAAAAAAGCCAACAACACCAGACAACTTTTTCAAACCATTACAACAATGAAAACCAAAGGGAAACCCTATTTACTTGGTTAGGGTTTCATCAAAACCCTAGAAAAAGAAGAACTAGCCACTCACGGAGGAGTGAGAAGAGGTAGAGGAGAAAGAAGCCACCATGGATGATAGTCTTGAAGCTTGAAAAACTTTCTCTCCAAACCCTAGCCTCTCCTCACTTTTGAAAATTTTCAAAACCCTAATTTCTCATCTTTTTCTCCCTTTTATTCTTAGCCAAACAAAGTAAAAACTTTCACGCATGTTTTCCTAGGTTAACCACTTAAGCGATGGAAGGCCGCACGTGCGCTGATGGTTGGCTGGATATGCGGTAGGATGGCAAGCCACGAGATTTCATTGCTTGAGGGGAAGATCTGCTTTTGTGCCACTTTTTGCCTGAAATTGCGTGCTGTTTGCCAAACCTGCACAAGTACACGAAACGCATCATCTCTACCAAATAACCATAATTCGAAGGTTATAAATGTAACTTAAGTGGTGTTAATGTGGTACCTTTCGTCCTACATCAGTGAATATTTAAAAAAAAATCACAAATATTATATTTTTATGTATATTTATATTAGGTGTGTTTAAAAATTTTAAAAAAAAATACTTAAAATATTAAAAAAATTAGTAAAAATAAAAAAATATGAAAAGCAAAAAAGTAAAATATTTTAAAAAGTAAATTCTAAAAATAGAAACAAAGCAGAGTGATTGATTTTAAATTTATATTAGACACTCATTTTAAAAGCAAAATTCAAGATAAATTTGAATAATTTATAGTATTTTTTTTTTAAAATCTAAATAGATAGCCTTAAAATAAGACAAGGTAAAGTGGGTGAGTTGAGTCGGTGAGCTCACTCATGGTTGGGGTTTAGTAGTTGGACCATACGGTTTGTCCAGCTACTCAACTTTACTCGCCATTTGTTATTTATTAGCCATATAAATAAATAAATAATTTAATCAAACAACAAACAAAAGTACCAACAAAAGCACCATTTGGCCTTAAATTTTCCACTTAACGTAGCTAGCTACAAATGGTTTGTTCCGGTGGTTATGGTTTGTTCTTAACAGTTCTACCAATATAGTTGACCGATTTGGCCTGTCTCATCCGTCATCTCTGTTGGAGATATCAGTTTAGAAAATTTCATACTGGCTAGAGAATCAACATCATCACCTAAGTATTCAATAAAAGACTAAACTTGTGCTAGAACCGTGTTTACAGTGAGATTTGAATTAAGATGTACTTAAATAAATAAATAAAGTAAAAATGTGTACCGATTTCATTTTCCAAAATCAATAATGTTAAAAATTCATATTTTGCATTTACAAATACATCCATAATGATATTATAAAGGCGGTAATCCCATATTATTGCGTGTTTAACAAATTAAAAATTGACACTTGTCAAATTACATAATTATGGGTTAAATTGTAAAAATTTATAAAAATCTCAAACATTTTCCTTTCAAAATATATTCCAAAAAATAACTTTTCTTGGTTAGAGTTTTCCAAAAACACTTTTCAGAAAATTCTACTTTCTTATTTTCCGTGTTTTTTTTGTTTTGTTTTTATTGAATTTTTTTAATATTTTAAGCAATTTTTTTTAATTTTTAGACATATATAACATAAATATACTTAAACAGTAAAAAATTCGTGAAAAAAATCTTTTAAAAATTCACTAAATACAAAAAATACAAAAAAAAAGAGAATTCAGTACATTTTTTGTATTTATTTGTATTTATTAATTTTTAAAAATATTTTTTTACAATTTTTTTATTTTTTAAATACATTTAAATAAGGTGCATCTAAAAAAGTAAAAAAAAAATGTTTAAAATTTTAAAAATATTCACTAAAAATAAAAAAAACACAAAAATCAAAAAACTTAATTATCAAAAAACTTAATTCAAAAAACTCAAACCAAAGATACTGAATATATGTTTTTTATTTTATTTATTTATTCAAATCTGTTTTAGATATAACTCTTATATAATGGACTCCATATCTTAAATGAATTTAAATAATATATTTTTTTTTCTAGATATTTTTTCCGTAAGATTACTCTAAAAAATAGAAAAAACCATGAGACCTATCTTCAAATGTTTTGTGGACTTAAAAATAGCATGTGAACTTAACTGTTATGTTAAGGTATGTAGACTTGCCAATAATCTTATTTTGATAATTTAAATAATTTATTTTATAAAATTCTTTGTGTATATTATTATTTAAAAAAATTAGGTTCATCTGATAATTTTTAACTCTATTAACTTTTATTTTGAGGATTTTTATCCTACAATGCATTTGCTTTTTAGCCCTAGGAGGATTTTTATCCTACAGCCTAAAAATGTTTACTTTGAATACATGGACTAATAAATAGGTCATTGTTCAAAAACAAAATGAACCAAATTTCACCCTAAAATTTATTTTCTCGATATTTTTATGACCACCATGTTTTCTTTTATTTCCATGTTTAGTACGAACTATGAAATAATTATAATTTTTTAATTTAAAAATATGTGCCATATTTAGTGTAACTTATTAGATCGTTTATTGTTTTTTATTTTAGGGTACTCCTCCTGAGGTTTTTATTTAATATAAATTTTTCTCTCACGTTTAAAAAATTATATTTTTCACCATGAGATTTGTAATCTTATTACAAATTATTCTTTGAATTATTGATGTCATGTCTTAAATTTTTTTAAATAATCATTTTATCTTTTTTTTCCTACCATTTGTTCTTCGTATCATCATTACTACATTCTATAACTTTTTATTATTAAATTCTACCTGAACATATTCTTATTGAGTGATGATATACAAACATAAATTTTATATAAAATTTTCAAACGCAATGATATAACTTAATGGTAATTTTTCACTTTAAAACAAAACACACCATAAACGTGATTTATATTTACAACAATATCACTATCACAACATTTTTATGATATTTTTTGTATAATTTTTTATATACGAATTGAATTTTTTATTTTTATTTTTACCATCATTTTTCTGTCTCGCCTATTCACCCACATTTATTATAGTATTACCAAATACCGTCATTCACATTTATTATAGTATTACTGAATTTTTATATTTTTTTGTATTTGGTGAATTTGAAAAAAAAAATCACAAAATATTATACTTCTTAAGTATATCTAAATTAAGTGTATCTAAAAAATAAAAATAAAAAAATTGCTTAAAATATTAAAAAAAATTTAATAATTTTTTTTTTTTTTCTTGTGTGAGTTAAACCAAAGAAGATAATTGTTATTTATCTTGAAATGACATGAATAAAATATCAGAATTATTTTATTATTTTATATATATAAAGGTTAATGGGCAAATATATTATTTTAATCTGACATGGGGTAAGTGTAATTTTTTAAATATGAGGAGAAATCTGTATTAAACAGAAATCTCAGGGGATATCAATGTAATTTACCCTTTATTTTAAAAACAACAACATTATATACCTAGAAAATTTACCTAGGAATAAATGGATTACATTCATGT